AGTTGTGCCCATTTTCTACAATGCATTGAACAAGTCTGTCACATGAATGATTTAATGCAGAAATGGTTTTAAGAGTTCTTTTGTCAGAGATCAATTGAGTCAAATACATCCCTTGTGTAACCCAACTGGTTATACTAGAACATCAAAGTTGCATTTGAATTAGTTTCCTAAAGCTCTAGGGACAATGTAAGCATTTTATTGTATTAATAAGCTGATGATCCCTTGCGCAGTAATGGATAAATATACATTAGCGCTATCTTTTGCTTCACAGAAGCATTTAACTTTTTTAATAATTTGACAGGGATGGCATGCATCTAGCAAAGCCTTGACAAATCCTTTATTTTGATTTATATCAACACAAAAGTATTAACACTTAGAGTAGGTACAACATTGCACTTTTAATGGTACAAGTGATTGGAAAGTGAGCTATACTTGTAACAATACAGAAGTATGACACACAAAGTGGCTTAAAAATGGCAGAACCCGGTCTAACATTTGCTCTCTCTACCAAATGGTGAATCTGTGTTCTGTTCATTAGTATACTACATAAGAAAAAGCTACACAGTCAGAAAATATTAGTTAAAAATAAATTAAAGTCAATTTCAGAAGTAAAGCATGAGAAAAAGACGTTCTTTTTTCACATTTTAGAACCTTCCCTGCCCCACTTAAAATCGTAAAAAAGGAAACATGGAAAAGAGGCATTAGTTCAGTTCATTCCCCTGCCAGGAGAGGATGATTTAACAACTGCTGCTTTAAAAATAAAGTGCCAGGCAATTGGGCTCCCACCAATACCCCAAAAAGATTATTCCTATAGCCCATCTTTCCAGAAAGACTCATTTTCATGAATGTAAAACTGCACTGCCAGTTTTAAGCCACTGACGAATCACGCTGCAGAGGAAGGTTGCCTCCTGAGGACAGACACAATTGATATCTTTGGGATTAGAATCCACTAGCAGTGCAGTTCAAAAGCTACTCGCTGCTATATGGAGTACCACCATTAATTAAAACAGGTATTACAATTGGAACTAAAGAAAAAATATTATTTTTATGGAAATACACTTTAATTCACTACTTACTTTATAAATAAATAAAATGAGCAGGATTGCCTTTAATTATGAGGTTTTCACTGACTCAGGAGAGTCATGACAATGATTAGTCAAAATTTATTTCTGCCTTATGACTAGAAATACATTTCCTAAATCATATAGGAATGAATCATAGAAAAATACAATTGTCTCCTTTAGACTGAAATGCTAAATTTCCTTCTGTAGGGAAATTTGCAGGCAAAAAACTTCTGTGAAAATGTGCAATTTTTTTTTTAACCTCTATAATTTTAACCTCCAAGTCCATATGAAAATCATGCACTAAGGAGATCACAGAGGAGCATTTTGGGTCAGATTCCTGGACTTAGTGGAACGTGAGCCACTCATCTATGCATATATATGTTTTAGGAATGTGCGACATGGCACCATTCCACTTCAACTTGCATTTTGCCATTTTGACAGAACTGCATTTTGTTTCAAATTTCATTTTGATTCGAAACTGCTGTTCCATTTTATTTCATCAAAAGAGTTTCACTGTATCCACCCTGTTTCAACATTTTGCCCATAAGCTATAATGGGGAAGGTCGACACAGCCTATAACTGTTATTTCTGGCCTGATTTGGATGAAACATGCAGGCATGCTAGCCCCTGCTGAGGCCACAAATCCTGCCAAGTTTCAAGGAGATGGCTTCAGGGCTTTTTGGAAAACTGAACCTCAATCTGTAGACAAGCAAAACTCATGACATGGGTGACCCTGTGTGTGTTAAGGTGCAGCATGATGAAAGCTGCAGGCATGCTAGCCCCTGCTGAGGCCACAAAGCCTACCAGCTCTCAAGGAGATAGGTGCAGGGGGACTCTGGGTTCTGGGGCCCAGTACCTCTGGCTGTTGACAGGCAAAACTTGTGACATGGGTGGATGAACCTGTGTGTCTTCAGGTGTGCCCTTCTGGGAGCTGGGGCCTCTGCACAACACGGCAGTGTCTCCCAGTGAGGCCACCTCCTCCCCTACAGCCTCAGCCCAGTCCACCACTGTAAACAGCGGCAGGTGAAAATAAGGTAGGTGACTCCGCACCAATAGCACCAGCAGCATCTAAGGTAGCCAAATGGAACTGTCAGGCCCTTCTTTCCTCCCAAGTAGGAGCACCTAGTGCATGTCTGTTAGGTGCGTCCTCACTGTGTGACTGTGTGTATGTGTGTTCAGATGTGCCCTTCCTGGTGCTGGGGCCTCTGCACAACACGCCAGCTGCCAGCTGTCAAGGAGATAGGTGCAGCAGGGTTCTGGGGCCCTGCACCTCTGGCCAGTAGGCAAAATTCGTGTCATGGGTGGGTGACACTGTGTGTGTGTTCAGGTGCACCCTTCCTGGCACTGGGGCCTCTGCACAACATGGCAGTATGCCTCAGTGAGGCTGCCTCCTCCCCTACAAACTCATCCCAGTCCACCACTGTAAGTGATGGCAGGTGAAAATAATATAGTGACTCAGCAGTCAGCACCAATAGCACCAGCAGCATTTAAGGTAGCCAAACTGGACTGTCACAGAGTCTTTCTTTTTATAAAGGAATTGGCAGCAAAAAGTACAGATGTTGTGGTGAATATATGTTACTTCTGGTGTGTGATGGCTTATCTTGTGTTTTTATGTTTATATGTTCATTATGAAAAATTGGAATAGAGAAATACATCTTAGGAAGCTTTCAGGTTGAAAAACCCTCTCTCAGGCTGAGGAAGTACCTGCAGTTGGTGCATCTCCTGGTCCAGGATGGAAGGAATAGCAAAGACGACAGAGGCTGGCCTGGCAAGCAATACAGGCAAGAAAGCCACTCAGTGAAAATGGAAATGGAGGCATCAGGGTGTGAGGGACTGGCTGGAGTGGGTGCGGGAGCAGAAAGGGGGATGTAGCAGCACAGGTAAAAGTGAAGAGGCACCTGGGGAGTCAGATGTCTGGCAGGGTGCCGTGTGCCAGAATTCCACTGTGTATACCGAGTCCATGAGTTTCTGTACCTACTACCTACCTAGGAGGCTGATGAAGTGCAGTTCATAGTCCCATATCTGAAAAGTGGTTTGTACATTCAAACAAGCATGTAACCTCATCACCAGAACTAAAGCCAATTTCCTACAACTCAAAACACAAAACCTGCCAACTATCTCCAGTACTCCCACAAACTTCACACCAGAATCTATCAAAGACAACAAAACCCAACTACCTGTGGGGGCACATTCCTCACCAAATAAAAAAAAAAAACCCACTGCCTCCAGTCTCTCAGGCCTGATCCTGAGAGGGAACAATTTACAAACCGCTTTTCACAGCCAGGCCTATGAGCTTAACTTCTTCAGCCTCGTAGGTACAGAAATTCATAGACTCAATATAGGCAGTGGAATTCTGACACACTGCAACCTGCCAGACGTCTGACTCCCCAGGTACTTCTGCACTTTTGCCTGTGCTGCTACACCCCCCTTCCACCCCCACTCCCCCCTCCACAGCCTGTCCCTCACACCCTGATGCCTCCCTTTTCACTGACTGGCTTTCTTGCCTACATTACGTGCCAGACCAGCCTCTGGCTTCTTTACTACTCCTTCCGTCCGGGACCAGGAGACCCACCAACTACAGGTACTTCCTGCCCATACCTCCAAGTTCATCCTGGCAGGGGAGCGAGCTCAGCAGGGACATGTTCTTCCCCTGCTGGCTGGTGATGCAATGAGTGCCCCTCCAGCTGACAGCAGGGCAGTAACCAGTTTTTAAAAGATGAAAGAAGGAAATAGGTGCGGATGGATTGAGGAGGGTGGCATTCAGTCTGTCTGCAACTGGAGCTTGGGGAACCCCAGCAGTGGGAGGTTCACCTTCAGGAACACCAGCTGCTCCACCAAACCAGGATCCAAGCAGGTGCAGTAGGGTTGTCACTACATCCCCAGTGATACTGAACACCCTCTCACTCAGAACACTGGTTGGTGGACAGGACAAGTGTTCACAGGCAACTGTGGCCAGATCCAGCCATATCTGGCAGCTGCTTACCCAGTAGGCCACAGAAGTGGAGCTGCTGCTGTGTGACCCCATGTCCCTCGGCAAGATAGGCAGCCACCAAGGCACGAGCACTACCTGCCTGATGGTGGGGTCTGACGGCTCGGACCCCATCATAGAAGCCATGCCCTTAGCCCATACCGGCACAACCAAGGTAGAGGACAAGACTGGCTGGTGGTTGGTGTGCTAGCATGGGATAGTGGATCCCCCTGTTCCACATCCTCCCGCCTCCACCATTCTGCCTCCCTGACTTTCTTTACCAGCGCCTCTGTCTGCTGATTCAGCGTTTGGCTGCTGCATACGGTGCCCTTCACTCTAGAGTCACACATGCCATTTCCTGATGCCTTCCTACAGCTGCCTCACCAGTACCTACAGGTCTGGTGACAGTGGCTTGCCCCAGCCAGGAACACGGATCCCTGGACGCTCCCCATTTGGCTCTGAAGTTTCCTCACTACAGGGATCACCTGGCTAAGCAGGGCACCAGCAGTGCTGATGCTCTTAGTAGCCTTGAGGAAGGGCTTAAGGACCACCAAGATCTTGGAGATGGTATCCTACTCAGCTCTGTTCAGGGGGCTGCTGATCGCAATCTCCCTGAGCAAGGCCATCTCATGGATGGCCTTCTGTTGCTCCACCAGCCTCTCAAGCATCAGGTATGTGGAGTTGTACCAAGTCTCCACATAGTGCATGATTTTGTGCTGCAGGATGTTCAGCTCTGCTTGTTTATCCCACAGCATCTTGCCTCTCTTGATGCTCCAGTGGAAGTAGTCTGCCACCTTCCTGCATTTGGAAATGAGCTTGCTGGTGGTGCTGGCACCATCACCAGCAGCCCTGCCCCCTTCCAAGGTGTCCCTGACAACAAGGTGGAACTTGTGTGCCACCCAGAAGATGCCAACAAAGTTGGCATCACAGACTGCCTTGACCATATTGGCCCCATTATCAGTGACCATGAACCCACAGGTGAGCTTGCCCTGCTCAATAAGCCACCCCTGCACCAAGCAGTTTATGGCCCCCATTATCTATGTTGCTGTGTGGAACAAATCCATCACTTTGGCTTGAAGGAGAGCCAACCGACAGCCTAACTGCTCACACCAGTGCCCTGTAGAGGGAGAGGTAGGCATGATCTCCACCCCCGTTGCCCCAGATGTTCAAGGTGAAGTGTAAGGCCACCTCTGGACCTGCCTTGTGCAGCTTCTCCCTCAAGTACTCCCTGCATGCCTCATACAGGGATGGCACCACCATCCTACTGAAGATGGTGCATGCGGGCACTTGGCATGATGTGGCCATGAGTGGCATGAGCCACCTGAACCCTGGCCACTCAACTAGGGAGAATGGCTGGCCATCAACAGCAAGCATCTCCCCAAAGCTCTGGGTGAGCTTGCTCGCCTTTGGAATGCACCCCACTTTTTCCCCTTTCCCCTCACTGTTCCAGGGTGGCCTGCCTCTGCTTTGGAATGAAAGGGGGACATCCCTTTGGGCACGCTCCCACTGATATGAGACTGAGGAAGAGCAAAGGCAAGGGGGTGGTACCTGAGGAGATGCATCAGCATCCCCGTGGTGCTCATATGTTTTGTTCCCTTGCCCCGTCTGGTTTTGGCTCAGCAGTGCAGGCAGATAGAGTATGTGGGATCATTTGCCAGCTCAAAAGGATCCCAGCCCACACTACCCACTCACCTCTGGGGTGTGGGTGCATCTGTGGATGCTGCTGCACTTTCCTCTTCCTCAGCAGGCATAGGCACAGCAAGAGGAGAAGCGGACTCAGCTGAGCCGCTTGCCTCCACATATACATCAACCTCCTCTGATGTGCTTTCTGGGGAAGGAGAATTGGCTCTAGGGGAAACTTGAGGGGCGACAAGCACAAACTCAACTGATTCCCCCTCCTTCCCCAGAATTTCCTTTGCTATGGCACTGAGATCTAGATCCAGTGCCAGCTCTTCCTCTGGCACTAGAAGGCTCAGCATGGGAAGTGAAATAGGGGTGCTGTAGGCTGCTGTGCTGGTGCTGCTGCTTGTTGTCGCCATCAGGGTGATGAAGGGGGGGCGGGGCTTATGGTCGAGCTGGTGCACATGGAGCGGATGCAGTCCTGGGCACAGGCAGTGGCACTGCTCCCTTCTCCTTGCTGCTTGTAGCTGGAGGAAAGAGGCTGTGTTGCAGTTTGGTGCGTGTGTGTGGTGGAAAAAACTCACAGGTCTCCCTCTACCCCCTCCCTGAAGGCTGGCCTTTCCACCATGTTTCATGGTGTTTCATGTTTCCTTTTCTACAAATATATAAATGTAGTTGCGTTCCTATATAAAATAAAAAAAATGTAGTTATCTGGTGCAAATAAGAAAAATGTGAAACACAACAGCAAGTATTGGCTTAACCCCTATATAAATTCAAAACTCTGGGGCAAGAGCATAGGTAGGTGTGTGGTACAAATAAGAAATGTATAAAAGCAAATAGGAATATGGCTTTGTTCCTATATACATTCTATACGTGTATGCTGCAAAGCTTTAAATGTATAGAAATAAAATATAAATGTAACTTGCTTCCTATATAAATTAAATGCTACAGTACTCCTATCCAATATAATTGATTCATTCTTTTGAATTCTATAATGAATATAATAAAATGAAAGAGCTTCAAAGAAAAAGGTATTCTGAATCTGAAATACCTCTTGCTAGCAAGTAGGGAATCCTTTAGAAGATCAGTGCTGCGAGCCATAGTTGTCTGACACTGAGCTGCTGGAACATACAGCTCACTAACAGACACCAAGGCAGAAAGCAGGGCAGTTCAAACAATGCTGCCTTTCATGCAGTTTTTCTATCCCTCCCCCAGAACACTGGCTTGGAAGAGACCTCAGGGAAGGATGACAGTCACTGGCCAGCTACACAGTCAATAATGAAAGCACTCCTTCCTCCCTCTTCCCCTCTGTCTCCTTACTTTATGGTTTCCCTAGTGTAGGCAAGCCTAGCTTGAGCTTTGAAACTCAAAACATTTTGAAAATTTTGAAACGTTTCGACTTGCCTCGTTTCATTTTGAGGCTGTTTTGAAGCTCTGTGTTCTGTTTCGATTTCGCAGTTTTGAGCTTGAAACAAGTCAAAAATCAAACTGGCGGCGAAATTTCGCACAGCCCTAATACGTTTTCTAATAGGACCACTTGGGGGTTAAGTATGCATGCACAAGTCCTTTCTATCGAGAGAGAAAAGGGATACTGAGATAGCTGTAGAACTGTTTTCCTCTTTCCTTTTTTTTTTTTTTTTTTTAAATAGGATCATACACATTTCCCTAATAAATCAGACCAGTGATCCATTCAATGCAGTATCTTGCCTCTGAGAATAACTGTAAATGCTAGAAGAATGGTGGCTGAAAAAAAAAAAAAATCCCTTTAGCAGATTTTTACAGCATATTACACAAATGCTAATATTCCTCCAGATAACCCTCTTTTACTGTTTGGCTCATGCCCTTACATCCCTTATACTATCAAATGCAAGTGTGGATGTTCTAATTATCCATATAAAATGTCTAATCTCTTTTTAATCCTACTAAGCTCTTGGCCAGCATGATATCTTGTTGCAATGAATTCTACAGGTTAATTATGTGTTATATAAAGAAATGTTTCCAAGCATCAGATTCATATTTGTTGCCTTTCTAATTCATTTTTAGCTAATATTGCTCCCCATTTCACCCATTATTAATTGCAACTGCTTTTAATCAGATACCCACTTCTCTTTTACTCCAATCTTAACCTGTGTTTTTTTTTAAGGTTTCTGTATTATTTCGAAGTTCATTTTGCCCAAGTATGATCTGTAGTATATAAATAAGAGAAGATTTTTATTTGTTGACCAACTTTTAATTATAATGATCTGAAACAGTTAAATCCATCATATGATATTAAAAATAAGGGAAGGCAGGAAAATAAAAACAAAATTAAATTAGGATTTTTTTTTCTTTTAAGGAACTAAATGACTTCTATTCCATATAATTCACTAAATGGAATAAACAGATACTAGATCTTAAGTTGTGCAGGGAACATGGGAGAACCTCTTGAAGTTATGTTTTTAAAGTAGCTTTAACATTCCTTCTTCAAGATTCAAAAAGATTTATTGATCAGAAATGATCACACATTTGTCCAGACATTTCTCCAGGTGCTAAACTACCTGCTTTGTATTATTGTTAAAAAGAAGCACTTTTTTTCTCTACCTAGGTCAGCTGAATGAAAAACCTTACCTCCAAAATTCACTCTGGTACTTTCCAGAAGGATCTCAGGTTTCCATTCCACCCAAAATCAGATGTCGAGTTTGCTAAAGAGCTCAAGATAGATGTTCAGACATTCTCTCATCTATAGAGAAATGATCATCATGATAGGATGGTTAAGGCCAATAGGAAAAACTATCTTTACCTTTGCTGCTATCGGCAGCTATTTGCTATGAATCAGAAATGAAAGCTGACAGGGCTGCAAGCTAACAATGGTGTATGGTAACCAGATTAGTTCAGGTAGTATGAAGTTATTGTCATCAGTAGATATCTGTTGTCCTCATAGGTTATCCTTTCCCTTTCCCAGTCACAGAATATTTCGAAGCCAGACACTAATTTGGATAAAGGTCATTTTTCTCACTCCCGATTAAACCTCTGGCAAGGAGGTCTATAATTTTGACCAGTGTCTGGTGCTGCTGAGTTCATAGAGTAGTAATTTCATTTCACTGCATAGCTCTTTTTAAAAAGTTGTCAAAGGACAACATTTTCTAGTATCAAGTACAGCCGGAAACCAAAATGTTAATAATATTGAACAGTTTCATAAGATATCCAGACATTTAATGCAAGGCTTTACTGCTGTAGTATCTGATGGAGTAGGGCACAGTACTTCAGATGTTGCTGGGTATTAGAAGTCTAATCTTAGTGTTGAGAACTGCCTGTTCATGAGTATTAGATTCTAATTCCATTTTAAAATGTATGTTTATGTATTGTACTGCCAAATGAAGCTTCTAATTAGATGTTCCAAGCAAACCCATATTCTACCAAAATGCACAGTTCATAAAGTCATGTTTGACTTAATGATGATACCTTTGGAGTTTCTGTTGCAGAGTTACTCTTGCAATTAAGAGTATGACTGACAAAACACATACCATTTTCATGCCAGTAGGAATCCATTGGATATGAGGATATTTATGGATACAAGAACATCCCTAGCAATGGATAACAGCAACATTTTGGGGGCACATACACTATCAAAAAACAAAAAAACAAGAAAACCGCCTAAAGAGATTTTCATCCCATATTATTTCCAAAGCAATATATGGAGCCAATGAATGATTTGTAAAATCACCATATGCTCTAGATAGTTTCATAGTTGGTAGGGTCGGAAGGGAACTGAGCAGATTATCAAGTCTGATCCCCTGCCATGGCAGGAAAGAGTACTGGGGTCAAACAACCCCGGCAAGGTGTTCATCTAGTCTCCTCTTAAAGACCCCCAGGGTAGGAGCCAGCACCACTTTGCTTAGAAGCTTATTCCAGATCCTAGCCGCCCTGACAGTGAAGCAGTGCCTCCTGAAATCTAGTCTGAATCTACACTCTGCCAGCTTGTGACTTATTTCTAGTCACTCCTGGTAGCGCTTGGGGGAACAGGGACTTCCCCAATGCAAGCTGGTCCCCTCTGACTAGTTTGAAAATGGCCACTAGATCTCCCCTCAGCCTTCTCTTGGGGAGGCCGAACAGGTTCAGGTCCCTTAGCATCTCCTTGTAGGGCCTGCTGTGCTGACCCCTGATCATGAGGGTGGCCCTCCTGTGGACCCTCTCCATGTTGTCCACATCCCTCCTGAAGTGCGACACCCAGAACTGGATGCAGTACTCCAACCGCGGCCTGACCATTGTTGCATAGACGGGGATGATCACCTCTTTGGACCTGCTTGAGATGCATCTGGGGTGCATGACAAGGTATGGTTCGCCTTCCTGACCACATCCCCACACTGTAGGCCCACATTCATTTTTGGTATCGATAATGGCTCCAAGATCCTTTTCTGCCTCTGCAGTGACAAGAAGGGAGTTCCCCAGCCTGTAGGTATGGTGCTGGTTCCTCCTCCCCAGGTGCATCACCTTGCACTTGTCAGTGTTGAAACCCATCCTGTTCTCACTTGCCCACCCATGTAACCTGTGTAGGTCCAATTGCAGCCTATAGATCTAGAGCATATAATGATTTTAAAAATCATTCATTGGCTCTGTCACTATAAGCTCAGTCAGCAAAATGGTTATTTTACTTCCATTTCATAAAATAATACAGGAAACAGCAAGGGCTAAATGGTGTCCTCAGATAAGTAAGTGTAAATCAATGATGATTTTGTGAGATTAAGGACAGAATGTGACTTACTTTTTATTCATCTTGTAATTACTAGCATTGTGGGCCATCGCTTTGAAAACTGTATTACCCAAAGTCACTAAATACACTATTACAGTATTTCTCCATTCTTTCACTTACTCTTCACAGACTATCAAGTCAAATTCAAGGTCTCTTCCCTAATCTTTATGCTCAATGGAAAGAGCCCAAGAAACCTATAATATTGGGATGAGAACCATGGTCAGCAACTTGATCCCTTAGGGAAAACAAAGCTGTTTGTGGAAAGGTAAAGATTACTACAGATTAATTTTCTCTGAGTCCAGTTCAAAACTATGCCAAAAAAATGCCCATACAATCTACAAACTACCTAAAATAAAATAACCTTTTTCTATTCCAAAAGCATGAAGAACTTCCCTGACCTTGCTTTCAATAACACATACACATTGCATAAGGCATCAAATAAGTGAATAATAAATCTTTCAAAAGCCTCAACATTTTCCCTATAGGAAGGTAGGAAAACTGGAGAGAAAGAGATTCAGTTTTATGTGATGATCTGGTCAAATTGTTTAATGCACTTCTGGAGGCTCTCAAATACCATGGAAATTATAGCTGTAAATGATTCTGATTAGAATGATAAATTCTCTCTGAAAATTATCCTTCCTAAAATGATAAGTGCTTTCATCAATGTGTGCTAATCAAAAGCCTATACACATCAAAGAAGAGACTTGAATCAAGGTCAGTGGGCTTTGTATCATATTCTCTATACACTAGTCTTGTGTGGTGACTCAGGCTATATTCTGCTCTCATTTGCACTACTATACATCAAAGTAATCATATTAAAGTCAATGGAGTTGACTATCATAGAATAGAATCTTGTCTGTCTGATTATTGTGGACTTCACTACAATAGAAGGGCCTGTTTCTAACTTTCTTTACACTAATTTCAGTGTTCGGTGGTTATATCTGGTAAAGACACGCATTAATGAGATCAGAATCAGCAACATTTGGAGCACACTGAGATAAATTTAACCTCAGCATTACCCAAGTGATTAACAGGACTTACATTAGGTATTTGGCTTATTCCTATGAACAGATTCTGTGGTGTATTACAATGTGTGTGTTGTACTATCCCATTCTGAGTTAATGCTTTCACTAAAGGACGTAACCACTTCCAAGAGAAGTGGCACAGGCTCCTACCCTGGGGGTTTAAGAGGAGGTTAGATGAACACCTTGCTGGGGTCGTTTGCCCCCAGTACTCTTTCCTGCCATGGCAGGGGGTCGGATTAGATGATCTGCTCAGGTCCCTTCCGACCCTAGAAACTATGTCTAACTGTATTCATTTTTAGAAGCCATCACATTTGTACTTGGAACTCTTGGCGATTACCTATGACACTAAACTTCAGTTACTTTAAATAAGGTGTTTTATATAAGAATAAGGATTAGATAATTGTGATATAACTGGGTACTTCGAGGTCAGTTAATTACTCATTGAAAACCTTACTTGAGACACTTCAAACATTAGTGATTTTTCTCATTTAAAAACAAAGTAACAGGCCTACAAGGTTCTTTGGGTAAATGTGATCTCCTTTATTAGACCAACTAAATAGTTGGAAAAAATTATTCTTTCCAAGCCTTTGGGCACACACAAACCCTTCTTCAGGCAGATAGAGAGTCTGCTGGTGAATTGTGTGCTCTCCTGTGTAGAATAGAAGCCAAAGCACAAAATGCAAGTCTGTGAAAATGCAGATGTGAGTCAGTGAGGCTCAGAGGGGTGGAAGACAATAGGTGTGAGACAGGAAGGGGTGGGGGTGGAATGTTGCTCTTTTTAGGTGGTCTAATTATAAAAGATATCAGATTCACCCAAAGAACCTTGCCTGCCTATGTCCTTACACCAACACAGCTACAACCAACAACCCTAAAGTAACAGGCCTGGCACATTGTGGCCTGCGACTTTATGAATCGTTTTGGCGTTCCCCCCTCCCCCCCAGTAATAAATATTTTATATTTTACTACTAACTTACAAACATTTTTAGAACAAGCTAGGAAAATGCCCAAAGAATTTCAGAGACTTTCAGCCAAGATAGAGAAAAAAAAATATTCATTTCAATGATCTTTCACCTGATTTGAGAATCATACAGCATCTTCGTACATACTCTGGGACATGGCACTGGGCACTTTAATTAGCGAGCCACACCAATTAAAAGCGGCCACACATCATATGTATCAGCGTCCCTGTGCTGAAAAAATGGCAGCAGGGTGATTTGAACTAAAGCTCATTGAACATGTTTTATTTCAAAGTACCCCACTGCCATTTTTTCAGCATGGAGATGCACGGAGACACTGATGCATATGATGCGGAAGGCTGATGCAGCACATGAATTTCGGTGCTCCAGCAGATTCGATTAATCAAGTCTGTTCCAATGTGCTTGATTTCCAGAGCATTAGAGCAGGCTCCCTGCATGTGTACAGGAGCCCATAAAGCTGGAGTCCCAAATGTTTACAATATTTTTAAAGCAGTATAGCTCCACTGACTTCAGTGGATTTGCAGAGCTGTAATTCAGAGGAGGATCTCTATAATGTTTCTTGGTTTTAAAAAAAAAAAAAACCATTTAATTATATTTCTGCAGAAATTATGCAACTGGTTTTATGGTTTTAACATCTCATTTTTGAAAGGCATAAATTTGTATTCTTGTGACTATGACTTTAATTACTATATGTTGTCAAGCATCCTTAAACTTGTGAATAGCATTGTGAAACTCATCATACCAGTCTTAGTCTGGCTGTAAGACAAGAACAATAGCAAAAGCGGAGGGAAAGACAGTTACAATAGCTACATGTTCCTTTAACAGCAGAAGGGAGTAGGAGTCAGATTTGGAAGAGTACATTCAACTCTGTCAACTCAGTGTTAGTAACTTTTAGATTGCTTCCTTTGAAATTGTTCTGAAAAAACAATTATGTAAATGAATAACATTATGTGGAAATTGGGCTCATGGCAATATTTTCCTTTTCATTTAATTCAACCTTGCATACAGTGAGCCCATATGCCATTAACATTATTTAATAATAGAATAAAACGTAATTATAATAGCTAGCTTTCTATAGCCCATCATCAGTAGATCCAGCTGCTTTACAAAGTAGATCAGTGCCATAATCCCCATTTTATAGATGAGGAAACTAAGGCACAAATAGCTGAATGTATATATCCACTTAAAGAACGCAGTATAATAATCTATCCAATAAGTCATTTACTAATGCTTAGGGTACATATAGACCAGGGGTGGGCAAAATACAGCCCACAGGCTGCACCCAGCCCATCAGGTAATTCCATCTGGTCTGTAAGGCCCCTCTATAAGCCCTGGCCCTGAGCTGCCCCTCACAAGCTGCGCCTCCATGCAGCAGGTGCAGCTCCAGTTGTTCAACAACTACCCTGCCACACCAGCCTGGCCCAGCTTACCCTAGCCCTGAGCCACTGAAGACATGGCTGCCCCATGGCTCTTTCCACCCCTCCCTGCCTGTAAGCATGGGAATCCAGTTAATGGCCCCACTGGACCAGAGCCAGGGCCTCCTGCTGGGGGAAAGAGGGTGGGAGCTTGGGGAGCTGTGTGCTATGGAGCTGGGCTGGCCCCACAGCATGCAGCTCTTACACTCCTGCAGCATATAGGGCCAGGTGGGGCTGACCCCGCACAGTGCCACCATGTGTGACTGGGGACTGGGGCAGAAGCATGGGAGCTCAGTGTTATGATGCCAGGTGGGGCTGGCCCTGTACCCTGCAACCACGTGTGGCTGGGGACTGAGGTTGGAGCTGTGCACTATGGAGTCAAGTGGGACAGGTCCTGCATGCTGCCTCAATGTGCAGCCAAAGACTTGGGCGGGAGCTGCATGTTATGGGGCCAGATGGGGCTGGTCCCACATGCTGCCACCACCTCCAGCCAGGGACTGGTGTGGTGGGAGTTGCACACTACGGGGTCAGGTGGGGCTGGCTCCATACCCTGCCACCATGTGCAGCCAGGGACTTGCACACTCCAGAGACTCTGAGGACCCCTTCCCACACACATATCCCACCCCCACCATACCTCCAAACACACCCACACCTTCCCACAGCCCCCACACACATCCACAGCCTTCATACATCCCACCCCTCCACCCCAGTATACACCCCCACACACCAACACCCTCCTACATACCCCACCCCACTCCATACCCCCAAAGACACCCACACCCTCTCACAGCCCCCACACACTCCCACCCTCACCCCATCATACCCATACACACACCCTCACACATACCATCACCCCAGCCACATACCCCACACCCCTCCACACCCACCCTCCAACCACCATGCCCACACTCCACCACACATACTTCCACTCCCTCACGACATCTCCACATACAAGCCCTTACCTCCATACATAATATACAAAAAGAAGCTATCATACATATGAATCAGGACCAAAATATTTTTAAAATTTTATTAAAATAAGCTATAGTAGAGGTTTTGTTTTTTAGTGTACAATTTGTTTTGTTTTTTTTCCTGGTTTCAAGATGGCAACCCCCACTCCCAAAAGGAGTACTTCCAGAGCAAGAGGAGAGACTTATGGTGGAAAAAGTCAGGGGTTAGGGGCAGGAATTCAGGTCCCAAGATGGCAACCAGGGGGTAGGGCATCTGTCAAACAGCAGGGCTACCCTTGTGGCCTTCAACAGCTTACCAAAACTTGTTAAGCAGCCCTCCAGTGGAAATAATTGCCCAACCTTGATATAGATGTTCAGAGAGGTTAAATTATGTTAAAAGTGGCCATCCGATCTAACTTAGTTCACCTACATGCAGACCTTAGTCTTAGATCGCTCGTTAGATCAAGCTAAGAATGAACTGTACAGAAGTTCAGGACAGTTACATCAATCTATAAATGGCTAAACTGATCCAAGTTAACCCTACCTTTGAAGAAGTTCAACTTAGATTGGGTCTGGCAAAACTGACCTAACTGAGCTTCTGTACAGTTCCCAGTACAGCTCTGGGAAAGCCCAGCTACTGGCCCCAGCACTAAGGCTGTGCTTTTTTTTTCTTACCTGGTACCCTAGCAGGCTATTTTTAGCCCCCTGGGCACTCACCCCATCCCAGATGGACAATCCTCTCCTGTGGACCAGCAAGTCCCCATGAAGCCATCAAACCCCTGATATAGCCTGCAGATCCCAGTACCAGTTTTGGTGCTGTTCTCTGAGGCAGGGAGCTTAGGAAGTTGGGTGGGGGAGGCAGTAGGAGTGATGAGGGGCTTGGTTCTTCATGGGGAGTTATTGGCTTTGGGTGGGGGGAGGAATAGCCCCTGTTCCTAAAGGGGTGGAAGAGGGAGAGAGCCCCTTGTCAGCCCAAGGCACCATGCAGACCTTTTGATTGTGCCAAACCCTCCTGGATACAAACAGTCCCCCCCAATCCCACTGCAGACCCTGCTAGTCCCCCATATTCCCCTGAAGACCCCACTACTCCCCCCATCAACTTCACAGACCACACTTGCCCTACTCTCTCCTGTGGACCCTGTTTGCCTCTCCAATCTTCTCTCTGCAGATGCCTCCTGCCCCTTTAATCCCCACTGTGAATCCACCAATTCCCTCCCCAGAGCCTGTTTGTCCCCCAATTCCCCCATCCTGACATACCTTAGATTGGGTGGCTATTTTAAAATAGATAACTAGCTAACTTCCCTGAATGGCTGTACATAGCTTATGTAATAAAGTATATTCCAACATTTCTACCATGTGA